TTAAAAAATAGAAACTCCTAATTTCAGTGCTATTATTATCCACTAGAGGGTGCTCATAAGATCATTTTAAATTTGTGGTCTGAAAATAAATTAATTTATGGAAATGCATCAAAGTTTATATTTAATTTTTATTCTACAGAAATTCTAATAATGAGGCTGGGGTGGTGACTCAGTGGCAGAGCGCTTGCCTTGCACATGTGAGGCACTAGGTTTGATCCTAGCACCACATTAAAAACAAACAAAATAAAGATATTGTGTCCATGTATAGCTAAAAAAATATTTTAAAAAAAGAAATTCTAATAATGAATTGATGATGTTATTTTTGTTTGGTGAGGTTTCTTCCTTATTTCTCATACAGGGCAATTTATGGCAGTTTTGTTATCCATAGTACCTCAGAAAGAAAATTATGGGTGAGGATTTGTATTTCCAGTGAAGATGACAGAAGTCTAAAAATACTGACTATAACGAGTCCCCCATATAACTGAAATGCATACACTTCCAAGGATGAGACCCCAGACCCTTCATCGCAGCACAAATGGTAGAAGAAAAAACATGGGATTATTAAGTCACAGGCCTGGATCTGTCCTAAGTGTGAAACATCCAGCAATGAATTGTTTTAACTTCTGAATTTAAAAGGGGCTAAAAATAACTGTAAGGATTTGAAAAAAATTAAAGTTGAAAGTATTTGTAAAACAAAGCTAGAACAAAATAGAAATCTGAATACTAGTTGTTTTCTCTCTTCCCTAACTATCCACCTCTATAACCTCTTCACAAATTCTGGTGATATTAACTAGGTATATAATTTCCCCTTCCTTTTATATGTGAACTATGAGTCATTGATACCAGAGTGAAATGTTTGGGCTTTTTAAATTTTCAATAAAATGCACATAAAACTTTCAAAGTTCATTAAGATTTCCAATTAATCCTTTCCTCATAAGTCTATTTGGGGGCAGAATATTTATACAGTGCATTTATGTATCATAAGTGCACAGCAGTGCTTGGGGCATAAATAAATCCTCACTAAATTGTGAATAAGTGATTACTTGTCCAAGATATTGTTTTTTCCTTGTCATGGAAAAATATACAAATTAGAAAACTTTTAACAATAAAGTATTGACAGTAAAAAAGTTATATCAAGTTAAATGCAATGAAAACACAAAGGGGAAAGATTAATGAAGTTGTTAATAAAATAATGCTAATATATATTGAGAGCTTATTATTATTTCTAATAATAAAACTAATGTCATTCAATATTCTGAGAATTTTGTTCATGTGTGTGCATAAATTTCCTGTCTCAAGTGACTATATGAAATAGATACTGTTTTTTCATGTTTTCCAAAAGAAAACAGTGAAATATAGAGATGTTTAATAACTTAACCTGAGGTCAAGTGCTACAAGATGCTGAAATGGAATGTGAATACACATTCTTAACCAGAAGGAAAAGGAAGGGCATTCCTACTAGAAGGAACAGTATATCCAGTACCAAAATCATGGAGGAGCCTCCTTATGCTCCTTGGATGTGAAAAAATTTTTGGTTCAAATGTAACATTACAGCGAGAGGAAGCAAAGGTGTGTACCTTGGGAGTGATAAAATATAATATGGCAATACTGAGAAGCAGCATGGTAGAGTGAATAAGCTCTTCTAAAAGTGAATCGTGTATTCTTCAGCAAGTTATTTAACTTCTGTATGCCTCATCTTGCCTATCTATAAATGGAAAGAACTACCTTAAGAGTGTAAAATGGAAAGAACTACCTTAAGAGTGAAATTATTTCTAAAATACCATAAAAGTGGTTGCTAAAATAAGAAAGTGGGAGACTCAGCTATAATATGCCAGGTAAAAAATGATGAAGGCCTGATTAAATAGAAGCTGTAGAGTTGAAAAGGATGTCCAAATTAAGAAATTTCTCAGGAGGAAACAGCAACCTTTGGTAACTATTTTAGATTTTGACAGAGAAAGGGTAATGGTGTTTGGTAGTACATAGTTACGGAGTCACCAAGACCACTCTCATTTCTAACACAAACTGTAATTTCAGGGATCCCCAAGACCATTCTTAAGTTTGTTTATTCATTAGAAGAGCATATAGAACTCACTGGAAGCTTTTAAACTCATAGTTACCATCTTTTACCAAAAAAGCATATAGATTAAAATCAGTTATAGGAAAAGATTGAAGGTACAGAGTCCACAAAAGTTCAAAGCATGAAATTTCTAGTTATCCTCTGCACTGGAAACATGAACAAGGCTAACTTTTTTCCTGGCAACAATGTGTAACAATATGCACAGTAATACTTCCAAACAGAGATGCTCATCTAAGCTCTTATATCAATTTCTGATGTTGTTTTGTGTTTTCTACTGCCTATTAAATTTGTGTGTGTGTGTGTGTGAATGGTGCTGGGGATAGAACCCAGGGTCTACACATGTCAGGTAAGCACTCTACCACTAAGCCACATCCCCAGCCCTGGTGTCCAGTTTTAATTAAAGCATAGCTGACTGCTCACACTGCTTTCAGTCTCCAGCTCCTCTGGAGGCTGAGCTTACAGCTATGGTCTGTACTCCTATAAATTACATTGTTAAGGCTATTAAGTATGGCCCAAGATTCTAGCTAAACAAAGATGTTCTTAACAGACACATTTCGAGAATTTAGAGATTATCTCCCCAGAGCTGTGGAAATGCCAGACTTGCTTTTGAGTAAGGTTCACTATTTACTACAAAGGTACTGAAGGTGTAGAGGAAAAAGGAGGTACCTGGACTGAAAGTAATGTCTTCAACTGAGATAGAATATGCAAGTAACAAAGATAACACAGGTTTAGAAGAGAAAAACAACATGCTTTTGAGTTTGCTGAATATGACAACTTAGTTGCTAGAAAACACTTAGAAGTATGAGGCTAAATCTTGGAAAGAATTGCATAGTTTTGAGATGATAGCACATTGATTAAAATCTACACTCATGTCCTGAATAGACTTCCTTGAAAGAGAATATGCAGGCAACACAGAGAGCAAAAACTAAACCAGGGTAAACTTCAGCTTTAAAGAACTTCTCAAAGGGACTTGGCAGGAAAGGTCATTACAAACCAGTAAAATTAAATACTAAATCTTTACCACTATTATAGGAAACTAAAGATATTGTGTAAATTATTTTCTAGATAGGAAAAAAAGCATTCCACTTCCCCCTGGATGTAAATAGACTACAAGAACAATATTATTTCTTGCAAATAAACAATTATAAAACAAAAATATGTGATTCTCTTCTTATTCCCTGTGCTATCTTCCATGTTCAAACTACTTTCTGAGAAAAACTTTATTTTGTCTACTGCAAATTTAGCCCATGTTTATGCAAAACTTAACTTACCATGAAAACTGAACAAAAAGGTAGATGAAGCAGAAGGCACAGCTAATTAAATGTGTTTATGGTTCACTGCTCATGTTGTTTAGGGTCAAATAATAATTTATAAGTCTGTCTGAACACACTAGAGAGAAAAATAACTCATTATAAGGAACGAGTAGCCAGATTACTAAAAGTCGGCCAACAGAAGATTCTAAAAATCTTTCTTTTTTTAAAAATCATCCAAGTATGCCTATTACATCCCAGGTATGAAATGCAGACTAAAGGTTAGCAGAGGGAAGTCTTGAGTCCGAGAACCTCAGCACAAATCCCAATTCTGCTACTTAAACTGAGTGAATTGGGACATGTTATTTAAACTCTGCAGTATCATCAGATGAAGAATGAAAAAAAAAATCTCATAGGTTTAAGGATCACTTACGTCAGTATTGTCTGGCATATAATAAGCATGCAAGATGTCTGCATATTAGATGTGATTACCTTTGTATACCAGAAGCCTAATGAATTGATTATAATCCTCACTGGTCATTCTTTATTCTCGGAAATACACATTTTGAAATCCAGTTTTGAAATAAAAACAAATATATACATTTTCATATTATACTGATTCCTAAATAGCTTAATTTGTTTAAAACTTTTATTAGAATGCTAGATTATTATCTCATTAGCCATGATTTAATCTTTGTTTAAAAAAAATGCTTAAAGCTGTCCTTTGTAAAGAAGATATACTTATTAATTCAAGAAAAGGTGAAATAAGACAACATGAGATACCACTGCCTGAATCACGTTCCAGATATTATCCACAGCCTTGAATAATAATAATAATAATTATTATTATTATTATTGCCCTTTTCCCTCAGCTGAAAATGTCTGGTTCCTTAATCCAAAGTAATTCCTCCAAGATACCAAGACTTGGCATTTTCTCAGGCTTTCACTGGCACTCTCAGGCTTTGAAAGGTAAAACACGGTACTTCTGTCTACTTTTATTATGATACCAAATTAGCAGTGTACATGCCTATAACCATGCCTCTCACCTCATTCCCCCTAAGAACACTAGACTATATGCAAATGGAACATAATGACTATCTTACTCTTTGTATCCCTGGGGCATTAAATATACAGTATGAGGCACTCAGAATCAACCCATAGAACAATATCCTGGTCAACAGCAAAGCTCAGCAAAGATATAAACCAATTTTTCTCATTTCCTTTTATACATTAAATGTTTGCTTTTATAATACATTTAAAGAATTTGTATTTATATATGCACATGTGTATGTATGTTCAAAACAGAGCTGACCACAGACATAATAGGGAAGAAATAAAACTACTGAGATAAAGCAGTGTTGACTTCAAAGTTTTAACGTTCTTATGTTACAGTATAACTAATTTTGTAGGTAGACCTATTTCCTGGATCAATTCAATTGTTCAAGATATGGGCATATTAATTTTTACTTACTACTGCTACAAAAATTTTTTTTCACTGCTTTTCATTATCTATTTTCTCTTGGTTCTTCCTTTCTATGTCCCAGTAGGAGAGTGCAACCAGGTTTAAATTTCTTTATCTTTCATTCTCACTTCATCCCTCACCCAAAAAGGTATACTGCATATTTTACTTCCACTGCTCAATCATAAAGTATCGAGAGATGAATTATACTAACCTCACTGTATTCCAGGAATCTTCAAGTTCTTTGGAATACTGTTTTTCAAAATGATCCAACACAACTTTGCAAATCTGTTTTGCAAGCTTCCCCTCTGATTTTCCTCTCAACTATGACAAGAAAAAGGTGCTGACACATATTAAAGATACTACAAATTTAAACCTTGATATTAACACAATCTTTTTTACTGTCTAAAAATAAGAACACTTTAGATAATTATTAGTTCTTGTAGGGGGAGCAATATATGACTTATAACAATATATGAGTTGTAAACCGTGTTACTGATAAATTTACCTATTTATGCTAAAGGAGTGTTTTCCCAAGAAATTGTAATCCAATCATGAAGCAAATGTTAAAGCAGAATCTAACTGTGCTAAACAAATTATGTCTAAAGGAAAAAATTAGTTTTTAAAAGCCATCACAGATGTTAGCATCAAGGGGAACTTCGTGAAAGGTACATAAAAATTCTGTACTCATTGCAATTTTCCCGTACACTTAGAATTAATCCAAAATAAGAACAAAAATGTCCCTTTTGTTTTTTCTGGAAACTCTGCGATTGTTTCGTTTATTCGTAGAGGGCCAAGTAAAATGTAACACTGTCTAGGCGTCCGGATACAGCAATGACATAGAAGACAGTTGCAGCACTATAGGAGCTTACACTATGCTGGGAACTTGACGTGAGCAAGTATTAGAAGTCTGCAGATTACTAGGAAGGGACGTCCTCTCCGAGGACCTTGGGAGCGAACAGGGAATGTTTAAGTGCAAAAGTAACGCACTGAATATTACCAGGATTCTAGACAAGGAACCAAAAAACCCGAATATCGCAAAGGGACCGCCAAAGGCGAAGTTCCCACATCCCGGCCACCCCCCTCGCCTCCTTGGTAGTGTACAGTCTGGTTCAGCCAGAGGCGCCCAGAAGGGCTCAAGGGCCTCACCCGAGTCAGCATTATCCTGCAGGGAGTTTACAGAAAAGAGTCAGCAACACTCCACATGAAAAAGCTTCCAGCCAAATGAAAAAACAGCCCGATTTCCGGTTAGCCAAAACCCTTAATGTCCTCACGGATCCCGTTTAAATTCTCGCGATATTACACATATCGCCTGCACTTTCAAAATCTCGCCAACAAGGTTAGCTCCCGCGAGAGGCATACCGGAAATTGCACAGCGCTTGGTTGGCTGGGGCGGGGAAGAGTTCTGCGCTGACGCCCAGGGGCGTGACCCGGCGGTGGGAGAGACCTTGGGCGACTGGTGTTTAGGAAGTAGTTTATCCTGCTAAACCGTCTTTGTGGGTGGGCTCGATAAAGGCTGAATCTCTGTCACTATTGGGTTATGTTTTGTAAACACTTTTATCCTTAGGGGCGAAGCTAACTACTGAATTAAATTTGATGACTCCGTTAACTCGTGAAATAGTTTTTTCCCAGGATGACCTATGCGAATAATCTCTCCATTTTAGAAAAGGACATGTAAAAAGATTAAATTGAAATACGCGTGTAAGGCGCTTAGCACAGAGACTAGTCGACATAAATGCCCACTTGTTCGGTGCTGTTCTGTAGTAGTACCACTATCATGATCATTGTGGTTATCTTGTTCTGATATCAAATGCCTGAGGACCAAAGTGATCCTCCATACAAGACTCGCCACTCATTTTTACAAGAATAGAGTTTACAAGTAAAGTGTTATTACACCCACTCTGATAGAAATAGCAGTTTATTTACTCCATTGGTGTACTCTTTCATTATTTTCTTGTAGCAACAATCAGCAATTTATCAGGGAGAAAATAGTGTGGTTTCTGATATTTAATAAGAATTATTATTTTGAGTATAAGCAATAAGTCCGTTAGTACGACTAATGCAATTTGAAGCTTAATATATTTAAATTATATTACATATATTAAATAATATATTTAAACAAGTTTCCCAGCAATCTAAAAATACATCTATTAGAATTTAGGTTTGTTAAAACATGGTTTTCAGAAGTTAATACCCTTTATTGGATGTTTGGGGGAGTCACATTTACCTTTCAGTCTACTTACAGAGATTCCACATTATTTTTCTATATTCTTTACAGAATGTTACAACTAATGAATTAATACATGAGTATTATATTTGAAATGTAGAAATATAAAAGATTTAAGATAATAAGAATTGAATATGCTGTATATCTATTAGGGAAACACTGATATACCTGAAAAGAGGACATTCTATCATTTTGTGACAGCATGGTTCTATTTTCTGAGTTAAAATGAACATTTTTTTTCTCTTTAATTTTTTTCTGCACTTCTGATAATCCAATTTATAAGTGTGTATTTAGTTTGGATATGTTTTCAAATCTTATTAGCTATTTTTTAAAATGACCTGCTCATGCTCATTTATCTGTCTTAATATTATATTTATATTAGTGATGTTAACCATGTCACCTGTGACCAATGCTAGAGAAATGAGCAAGTTGTAGAAATCTTTAACTTCTAAGTAAGTACTTTTCCAATTTTTCTTAAAAGTATTTAACTTTAGCCGGGCACAGTGGTGCATGCCTGTAAACCTGTTGTTCAGAAGATTGAGACAGGAGAATCAAGAGTTCAAAGAGAGCCTCAGCAGAAAGCCAGGTGCTAAACAACTAAGTGAGACCCTGTCTCTACAAAAAAATGACTGGGGATGTGGCTCAGTGGTTGAGTGCCCCTGAATTCAACTCCCAGTACACCCCCCCAATAATTAAAATATGGAATAACTTTAAATTTTTATGCAGTAGCCATTGTTTGTGATTGATTCCATTACAAAGAATTGATTCCATTCCCAGAGAAGGAAGCCAATTCTGTTTCATCCACCCTCTCTTTATAGTTTGATCTTTAATATTAAAGTCCCTTTCCAAGACCCAATATTTGTGTATCATGAAAATGTTAATTCATTTACCTTCCTCCCAAATAGCTACTGAATAATAAACAAAATTCCACATTGACTAACAGAAACTACTAGAAAAAGACTTGTTTTAAGTCACTAAAAACACACGAGGAGGGGCTGGGGATGTGGCTCAAGCGGTAGCATGCTTGCCTGGCATGTGTTTGGCTCAGGTTAGATCTTCAGCGCCACATAGAAACAAAGATGTTGTGTCCGCCGAAAACAAAAAATAAATATTAAAATTCTTAAAAAAAAAAACACGAGGAAATTGAGCTGAAAAAATACCAGAAATTACACTTTTTTTATTAATGATACTGTTAGATAATTAATCCATATTATTTATAAGGACTTAACTCTTCTCAGGAAAATAACTTTTATCTAACTAAGCATTTTTTATTATTAAGTCAATTTCTGAATAAGTACACTTTTTGGACTATCTCCTACACTGGCTGCTTTATGAATTTTCATGTTTACATAAAACATGTCTCAATCCTTCCTATTAATATAGAGGTGAGGACAGGCACTATAGTAAAACAATCTGACATTAAGAAAACCCTTAGTTACTTAAAATGTAAGGCAGAAAAACACAGAGACGCCTGTGACCAATGCTAAAGAACATAATTATAGGAATCTTCAATGTCTACTGAAGGTTCTTATTAGTTTAGGACTTCAAAGTGGTGTGTATAAACTCTAGCAGCCAATCCACTGCAACTGGGGTGTAAATATAATGACTTCTCTTTTTATTAAGTTTTATCTAATATTTCTAATTTCCTTTTTGAGGGGTATATATAAATAAAATGCATTTTTAAATAGTGCATCAGAAATGTATGTAACTGATAAAGGTTGGAATATGTATCCTCAAACTTTATGTTGAAGCTCTAATCACTGATATTTTGGAATGTAACTGTATTTGGAGATGAGGCCTTTTAAAAGATGATTAAGTTAAAATGAGGTTGGAAGGCTGAATCCTAATCCAATCTTACTGGTGTTATAAAAAGAGAAAAATTGGACAAACTGAAAGACACTAGGGGCAAGAGTACTCAGAAAAGGCCATGTGAGGACACAGCAAGTTGGCTGCTACCTATAAGGCAGGCAAGAGGCCTTAGGAAAAAGGAAACTTGTCCGCAACATGGACCTTGATCTCCCTACTCCAGAACAGTAAGAAAATAAATTTATTTTAAGAAGTCACTCTGTGTGTGGTACTTATGGCAGCCCTAGCAAACATAAAGGCACATTAAAAATGTATAGGATGCTATTATATAAGTTTTGAGACCACTGATTCACTTCTTAAATTCTGTTTCCTCATCAGTGAACAAAAGGAATTTACAATCTAAGCCATAAGGAAGCAAATGATTATTTTTCCAATTTTTTCTTTAAATAAAATCAGATCGGTTTATTTAAAGGAAATTCATTTTTTTTTACTTCCTATGTTTTAAATGAGATTTTATTATTTGGTTTCTAAAAAATTAAAGAATAATTGCTGTTTTAATAACCTATGCCATATTCTAATCTAGGTTTTGAGATATTTGAATTTGTTCTTTGGATCAGCTGGACAGTATTTCCCAAAAACTTAAATAATCAATGTTAAGACAAAGGTGATAAAATATATAATGTACATCTTTATTTATAAAAGTAGTTTTACTTTTGAAAAGATTTGCCACCTGGAATCATGGATTTAATTGGAATGAGTATACCATGAGTAGCATGGCATATCAAATAGTACCAAATCAAAATGTTGTCATAGTAAGAGAACATTTAGTAAAAGCAGCTGCAAATAAAAAGGTGTTTTAAACAGGTGACCTTTTCCAGGCTATGTGCAAGGAATTTAACATATTAAGTAAATTCTAGAATTTCATTTGTTGTTTAAAACAGCATTTGATTTTCAACTAGAAGAAAACATGGCAGTTAAATAATTTATACAAAATTATAAATTTGCTTCCATTATAAAAATAAAATTACCAAAATCATTAAAAAGTTTAAGGAAAACATTCTACTAATAACTCTAAAAAATTACTTCACTACTTTGTTCTAGCAACATTTTTCTCTAGTGCAGTTTCTATCCATAGCTTGACACTTGGCATCAATTATATATAAAATATTCCATATACATATGGAATTTCCAAGAAAAGCATATGGAATTATTTTAAATAAGTAAAATTACATCTGTGGGCTAGTAGCTTGAACCAAAGACACTGAATAATCTAGAATCATAAGGTGCTTTGATACTTTATTTAGCTGCTTTTAAAAATAACATTAGATCTCAAATATATAAAAACTTGCAGAGAAAAATGTTTTCATGTAAAATAACAAAAAGTCCATTATTTTAATCTACTGATTTAAACTCTTTCAATAATCATATTTGAAAAACATTTACTTATTTTATTATCCAAAAAAATCACTTATATTCACCAAAATCAAGAGAAAACGGAATATAATATAAATTAATTTTATTGGGTGAAAATGTCATAATTAATGGTGATTTAAGAATAAAAATGCAGCATATAACAAAATAGGCATTTAATTATTAGAATCCACCTGGATTTACAAAACATCTTTTAAAGTATTTTAGAATGCTTTAAGAAAACTATCTTTTGAAGGAACTATATGAAATATTAATTCCATTTTATGCTACTTTAATCTTAAAATCATTTTTAGTTTTACAAAATGGAGTCAGCAATTACTGTATTCTACCAGTAAACATTGGTAGGATAAAAATTTTAAAAATCTATCTTTACTCTAAAATAAATGAATATTAAAAATATAGCAAAAGTTTGAGTTTAGCTTTAAAAATGAATAAACGTAAATGTTACAAAAGGAACAAAAATGTAAGCAATTTTTTCCTATAAAATTCATTTCAAAATTTACATGCTGTCTTATTGTGATGCTTTTCCTCATATTTTAGTCACCTATAAAATTCAGATTGTTATGAATTTTATATCTGAAGTAGAATGCTTTTTTTCTTATTCAGGTGCTAGGTAGATCCATGTACCAACTCCAAGAATCTGTGCCATGCTGATGCATTCTGATTAATAAGTGACCATAATAAAAGTTCAGTGAAGTTAAAAATGTGAATAAAATGTGATGCTTCAAAGCAAAATTCTTAAAGTAAATAGTTATATTAAACTGACTTAGGCATACTTATTTATGTTGTTATTAGATACCAGCATATGTCTGTTGTCAGTACAGGTACCAAACCCAATAGTCTTATCTAGGTTGTATTGAAATTATTATTTGTGTTATTTTCACCTTAATATAAAGGCATGCTTTCAGTTAAGTGAAAATTAGGACTCCTTTACTGAAAATACATATCTAACAGTTTGTCTAAATGACAGAATCCTATGAGTGCAAGAGAAGTAAATTTTAAATTGAGAAATATTTTGGAATCATTTCTTTACAACAGTATTTGAGCCAACATTTTAATTTGTATTGCTTTAGAACCCAAGTTATTTGTTGTAAAATATAAGTCTCTGTAACTACAGTAACTTCTTTCAGTTTTTTTGCCTCTAATTTCAAAGGATGAAAGAACTGTAATACCCTAAAAGATTCATGTGGCTTCTGACAGAACAGTCCTAACAGGGATCACACCTTGATCTCTGAAAGTGTCTTGACCTTTAAAACAGGGTTTTCTTGGGACTTTTAATAATATCTCATAGAACATTTTTATTACTTAAAAAATAGGTTAATAAAGGTATTTTATGTCTCATTTATTGAGATTATTATCAAAAAACACAAAAACAATAAAATAGAACACTTTTGTTGAATAATGCTTTCAAATCACATAATTTGGTAGAATAAAGATCTGATATCTGCTTTTTAAAAAGGTAGATATTATTTTAAAATAAAGTCAAATTAGGATTTATAGGCTAGAAAAATGCTATTACAAAAATTTAAGTCATATAAATATATTGTTTGTATAGTTCAT